ACGATTACAGAAGGTGCTTCTGACCATGGGCAGAGTGGAATTTTGCTCAGTAGTGGGTGTACAAGACACCAACTTTGCACATTGACAGGTTGGAGGAGGGGGGAAGGCTTTTAATACAAATTATAAAGTATTGGAATGTTTGGATTCCAGGGTTACACTGTCCCTTGAAATTTAAGGGGGCATCCTTGAGCACTTTGGGGGCAGCTGTGCTTGATCTTTAAGCATCTCTCCATGTGCCCCCAACTGCATCCTTAGCCTATAATTTCTGTGGTCATACACTAGGCTTCTTCTTTACCTTTTTTCTCCCATTAATAAAACAAATATAGAGTCCAGTGGCATGCACACAAAAGCTCACACCTTGAATAAACTTTTGTTGTTCTTAAAGGTGCCACTGGACTCTAAATTTGTTTTACTGCTTCAGAACAACATGACTCACCTCCTGGAACTATCTCCCATTAATAGTTCATTTTCTGACTTTGAGAGTTGCTCCAGCAGTGTTGTGATTTGCTTCTCTTTCCTGGCCTCACTTACCCTGGGACCTTAACACCAGGCCAAAGGAAACATTTCTCCATGCAGAGCAAACTTTACTTATTTTGCCACAGGTGACGGTCTCTACCTTAGATGGTTCCAAGCAACAATCAGGCATCCTTACAGTTGCCAATTGGTTGCAGCTCTTAAATGGAACTGCTTTCTTCAGAAGCAGTGTACTCTGAGGGGAAAACCTGTACTGCAGTTCCATTTATGCTTTCCTTGTAGGCTTCCAGAGGAACTTAACTGAATGCTGTTGGAAACAATATCTCCTTATGGGGTTTATGCTGCTCGGGCTGTCTGGGTGATGGTGACTTGTTTATTTTTTAAATAAAATAGGGGAATGCTCAATGGCGGCTTTTGCTTCTTTCCACTGACTTACACATGATGAGTTTTCTCTAATTGCCAAAGTTAACTTTTCTGGAGATGATTTTTCTTAGAATGTATTGAAGAACAGAAGCAATTTAACCCTTATATAAGAAAGTGCACACATCTGTCTACCCGAAACATGTGCTTCCTGCAGGAGTAGGAAAGAGCCTGTGCCTGAGAGTTAGTGTGTCAGCTGTCAGCACTTAGGCAATGACAAGGGGTGCTTATCTCAGTGATCCTATCTTCCTTTAAAATGGACCATTGCCTCACTTAAAATTGCACATCACGCTTATGTTTCTTGCTGATCTTCTCTAGTGCTACCCACCCACACCTGGCAGTCGAAGTCTGAACCTTTAGTGACCCTTTGTTTGCTGCCATAATTGGCTAGAGCCCAAACACAGCTATCAGATGAGGCCAGGACAGTACAGCTTGCATTTCTTATTAGTGAAAGGGAGCAAGAGTCCAACAACACCTTAAAGAAAAGACTAACAAAGGCTCCGGTCACACGGGCTGGATATCGCGGGGGGAGGCGTGGCTGATTGCCCCGGAGTGAACTACTGCGCGGCAGCCGGATCAAACGTCCTGCCCGACGTCCCACCAATGTCCCGTGGTTGGGGGGAGGCGCCGATCAAACCTCACTCCTGCAGCGCGGCAAAGAAGCGGTGCCGCGGGGGTTGTGTTGTTTTTTTTAACTCAAGTGTTCGCATGCGCCATTGGGTGCTTGTGCGCACCTGTGGAGACTTGACAAAAAAAATGTTTTTGCGACAGGACATGGGCGGGTGCTGGATGCCACGAGCTAACACCGGAAACGTGATCTGACGCCTGCCCTTGCCCCACGGTTTCTGGAAAATAGTACCTCGGAGGTACTAGTTTTTTACAGCGCATCTTCGGAGTGAAGCCTCGAGTGAGCCATGGGAGCTCTACGCTTCCCAGATGTGGTGGTGAGATCACGCCCGGAAAATCCGCCTATCTTCCGTCTCTCTAGCGTGCCTAATGCTCCGTGTGACCGGGGCCAAAATTTGTGACAGGGTATGAGCTTTCATGAATCACTGCTCACTTACTCATATACAGCTGGAATGTGAGTCCATCTCTCCTTATATCATGGAGAGTGAAGTGATTTCAGATGCCAAATGACTGGGGTCTTTTTGTAGAAAAAGAGCTTCAGGAGCTCATTAGCATAACTCATTAGCATATGCCACACCCCCTGACATCACCGGAAGTGTGTCAGAAGGGAACACCCACTGCTCAGGCTCCACCCCAAAAATCTCCAGATATTTCCCAACTCAGAGCTGGCGAGCCTACCTGGAGAAAAACTGCTTCAAAAGAACAAAACAAAATGAAGAGGAAGGAACATGTACAAAGTGCACATTTCTTGCCAGTGTTCTTTCTGGGCTGCACACAGGGCAAAAAGAAATTTTAAAGTGTCTCTCCTACTGGACTCTTACTTTTTCTACAGCTGTTACAAACCACAATGTTAAAAAACCATTGGGGGGAAATTTTAACCTTCCAGGACATTCAGTTGCAGACCTAAAAGTGGCAGTTCTCTTAGATAGGCATTTCAAAGGGAGATTAGAAAGAGAGACTGCTGAATTGCAATTGATAATGAAGCTCAAGACAATGCAAACTCCTGGACTGAACTGAGACCTAGGTTGTTTCTCTCATTAACAATGCTCGCTATTGTCATTTGGCAGGGGTCATTTCCTGCAGGAGTGCACAGGAGCAGAGCTCCGGCAGTAAAGAGCCCAGGGGGCGGGCATGTGCAACAAGCCCCACCCCCTGCTCCCAGCAGCCCTTAGTCAGAGCAAGAAGCAGCCAGGTAAGTTGCAGAGTTCCCCCTGGCTGCCCGGTTCAAAACAGTCCAGTGGCACCTTTAAGACCAAGTTTTATTCAGGTATAAGCTCTCCCTCCTCTGTGAGGACAGATCTGCACGTCCCGTCCCCCCCAATAGCTAGCAATCCAAAACAGTCCAGTGGAGTCTGAGCGGTAGGTGTTGCCTTCTGACACACTTCCAGTGATGGCAGGGGGTGTGGCATATGCAAATAAATTATGCTAATGAGTTATGCTAATGAGCTCCTGCACCTCTTTTTCTACGAAATGACCCCTGGATACATACTATGGTAATCTCAAAGTTAGGTTACTGTAACACACTCTTTATGGGGCTGCCCTTGAAGATGATTCAGAAATTTCAGCTGGTGCAAAATGCAATCGTTCATTTGTTATCAGGCTCTGCCCAGTGAGATCACACTACACCAATCCTGAAGTATCTTCACTGGCTGCCCATTTGTTTCTGAATTCAGTTTAAGATGCTGGTGCTTACTTTTCAAGCCTTTTGTGACCTGGGGGACCGTACACTCTGTCTTGACATTAACTCATGCAACAATTGCACTTCTCACAATTTCTCGCTCTTGAAGATATGGTGTGCGATGGTCCAGCCATGGCTTTTCGCTTTTACTGCCCCACTGTTATTGAACAGGAAGGGGAGAAGCAGGGACCTACCCTTGGGGTTTTACTGTGAGGCTTTAAGACAAAATTATTTAAAAGAACTTAGGAAAGGTTAGGGGCTCTTCTGCTTGGCATGTAGAGGGTTCCAGGTTCAATCCTGGCATCTCCAGTTAAGAGAATCAGGTTCGCGGGGAGGGCGGGGTATAAATGTAATAAAATAAATAATAAATAATAAATAATAGTATGTGATGTAAAAGGCCTCAACCTGAGACCACAGAGAACTGCTGCCTGCCTGGGTAAACAATACTGGATCAATGGTCTGTTTCACTATAATACAGCTTCATGAGTTCATTGGGTAGCTTGAAAGGACTCTAGCTAAAATGTTTCTTTTAAACATTGCTTTAGTTATCAAGTTTAGTTACTTGTTTTCAGTTATTAGCAACCGGAATAGTCTAGCTTAGCCTGGGCTCATGAGAGCTTGGGAGCCAAGCTGAGTTGGCCATGGTCAGTACTTGGACGGGAGACCAGCAATGAAAATGTGGGTAGCTATGCAGAGGAAGACAATGGCAAACCACCTCTGCTCATCTTTTACCTGGAACATCCTAGGGGTGGGGTAGCCATGAGTCAGTTATGACTGGGGTTGCCAATCCCTAGTTGGGTAAACCAAAGAAGGGATCACAGTTACAGGTTCATACAATCAAACAAAGAAACACTGTGATAAAATTGACAATATTTAATGATTCTCATGAAAATCAATTTGTGAGTCTATTAAAACTTATACAATATTGCTTAGGACATGCTGACATTTTCAAGGGAAAGTCCAACATCATCATATCCTCAATGAGCGCCCGGTTGCCCACTCATTTCACGAATCTTCCTCAGGAGTAAACCTATAAGAAGAAGAAGAAGAAGAGATTCGATTTATACCCCGCCCTTCACTCGGAGTCTCAGAGCGGCTTACAAACTTCTTTCCCTTCCCCTCCCCACAACAGACACCCTGTGAGGTGGGTGGGGCTGAGAGAACTCCGACACAAACTGCTCTTTTTCAAGGACAGCTGTGCCAGAGCTTGTGACTGACCCAAGGTAACATCAGCAGGTGCAAGTGGAGGAGTGGGGAATCAAACCCGGTTCTCCCAGATTAGAGTCCGCACACTTAATCTGGAGGGTGGAGTCTATGGCTTCGGATCCCTCTTTTGCTTTCTCTCTTCCCCAAACTCTGTCCTCTCCAGGCTCCAGTCCACCACTAAATCTTCAGAAATTTTCCAACTTGAAGTTGGCAGTCCTATCAGTCCAGGATCATAGTGGGGTGACTGTCCAGGAACCTCCAGGCAGGGATTTCAAAATGTTCAGGAAAAGCTCTGCGTTTTTCCTCTCCTAGTAAGGGAACTGCACTCTGCATATGCTCAAAGCTTCAGTTCTTTGTAATAGCTGCACAGCCTCCGCAATATGAGGTCTGACATTTTCCGAACAACCTCACCCCCTCCCCAAAGAACCCACTCCAAGCGGGCAAGAATGAGACGCACGGCTTCTCCCCGCACGCAGGTCCTCCAGCGCTAGAGGGCGGGCGCACTCTCCCCGGACCGGCTGACGCCGGTGGCAGCCGGGGTGCAGTAGCGAGGGTCAAGCAGGCTCTCCGTCGCTTCCTGCTTGGCCGTCGCTCTCTTTGCAGGGGGAGTCGCCCGGGCGCAAGCGCTGTTGGGGAAACACGGAGTCCGGGGCACTCGAGCGGCTTGAGCCAGCCAAGGCTGCAGGTAAGGTGAAAAAGGGGGGTTCCCCCCCCCCCCCCCCGCAAAAGGTGGCGGCGGCGGCGGCGACTCTCTGGCCTCTGCTCTTGCCCTGTATCTCTGTCCTTTCTCTTCCTGCGGCGGATTGTCTTTCCCTTCCTCTGATTCCTCCCGCAGTTTTAAATCTGTCTCCTCCCCTTCTCTTCTTACCTTGTCCTCCCCCCCACCTTGTGTTACTAGTTTCTGCTCCTATGAAAGCTCCCCTTCCTTGCCACTTTCTTCTTGTAGTTCTACTCCGTGCACCCGTTTTTAGCAAGCCTGTCCATGCTTACTCGTAGGTAAGCGCCACCGAGTTCAGTGGGGCATGCTTCCTAAGCAAGTGTGTGTGGATTTGCAGCCTTGCATTTTCTTCTGATTACCACAGAACTGGGGTTTTCCGTTAGAAGTGTTACTCTGTGATAGGAAATAGGACACAAACCATGCATAGCTTATCTTATGTGGCAGCTGCACATGTGTGTGTTTCGTTTTGACTTCTTGTGTTGAGTCTCCAAGAGATCCAGCACATTTTCTTGCCAGGTTGGCGTGAATCAAAATGTATTCTGGGTGTTATTTTTGTAAAATATATATGGTCTAAGTACACAGCTTTCCTGTGCGGAAGTGATTTTGCATAGTCAAATTTATTTATTTATTACATTTATACCCCACCCTCCCAGCCAGGGCAGTCAATTGTTAGGGGCAGCCCTTAGGATGCACATTTGGAATTGTATACACTACTCTGGGCTGGGACATTACTCTAGATTGTGTGATGTACTCAGAAGGGGAGATCTATTGAGTATGTACAGAGTGCAAACACCAATGCAGAGCTGACATCAGAACTTTTGTTTTTGAAATTAGTGGTGGGATGATGTGTTGTCTTGGCAAGCTTGAGCACTGGCACGTCTTTAAAAATTAAATTCTGCTCAGCATATTTTAATTAGATTTTATTGACTAATCATGAAGCAGTAAGGATGTGGATTTCCCCCCTCCTTCCACCCTGTCATTGTCTGCTTCTGGACTTGGTTAGAGTCTAACGCGTCAAATTCTAGATGGATAGTCATGTTTGTCTGCTTGAGTCAAAATGACAAAGACGTCTGGCCCCTTACAGGCTTACAAATTCTGTGAGCTCAGTGCCCACTTCATCAGCTTTGGCTGGTGAAAACGTATGCCATAATAAATCAGTTAGTTTTCAGGATGCCAGGAGAGTGTTCATTACTTCCTATCATGAATACAGAACTAGGCAGTGGTGTCTATTTCAGATTGATGCCTGGTAAAAGAATACAATCGTGGGTATATACTGTGATCCATTTTGCTTTTCCCTGTCATAAAACTGGTTGTGTATTCAAGATCTCTTAACATACTGTCATTCTCTCTCCCAACATGTTGTACAATCAAAGTTTTGAAATGTGTGGATTTCTCCCCCACTTTCAGTTCATAGTAGTGGGAGGGTGAAGTGGGAATTCTAACCACTGTTGTAATCTGGGAACATGGAACCACAAGTTGATATTTTGGGTTACTGCAGGGCCAGGAACATGGAATCAGGTCAATATTTTGGGTTACCTCACAAGGCTAGGGTGTGATATTTTTATGTGTGGCACCATTATTTTATTTATTGCTTCCCCAGTATTGCTTTCTGTTCCTAAATGAGGCCTTTTCCTTGTCTTTTCTACTGTTGTGCCAGCTACTTAATGTGTATTCCCCCCACCCCGCACACATACACTTCCTTTTCTTCAACCCTTTAGGGGCTATTCCACATATTATATTGGAAAAACATTTGTGTTCCCAGGGGGACTCACTGAAAGGTCTCATCGGGCAAGTCTGGTCTACATAATTGTTGCGTGTGTTTTCTGCTTTCAAAATCCACAGGCTTTCCGGTGTACAGATCAGTAATATATTTCATTAGACCTTTAGAACAGCTTACTTTTTGATAGTTGTATGTAGAAATCTAAAGGACTCTTCATGGTGAAACTTTCCTAAATCTTGAATTGTTGGCAAGGCTTTGTGTGGGGTGGCTGGGTAAGGCTTGGAGAACTGCAGAACTGCTCAGATGATGTGTTAAAGCATTTTCAAAACTGCTTGGAGGAAGCACCTGGCTGCAAAGATCTCCAAAAAGGGTTCTCAATAAACTAAACAAACCAATAGAGAAGGGGCAAATAAGATTCTCTGTAAGTAAATGTAAACTGATGTGCTTTGGCATAATCCTCCCCCCTTCCCGACTCTTTAACTTTATACATTGATAGGATCTGAATTGGTGGTGACGAACGAGGAAAGTGATTTCAGAATTGTGGCAGATCCCTCAGTAAAAATGTCTGATATCTGTTTTGTGATGATAAAGGTAAGAATGATAATGATCCTCCATTTTATCCTCACAACAACCCTGTGAGGTAGGTTAGGCTGTGTGTGTGTGTGACTGGCCCAAGGTCACCCAGCAAGCTTCCAAGGCAGAGTGGGGATTTGAACCTGGGTTTCCCAGAGGTTAGTCTGACACACTAACCACTAGACAAGACTGGTTTTGTTCCCAAAGTTGTAGATGGAGCTCTGGTCATCCCATAGTATAACAAAAGGGATCTGCACCTTGGAAAGGTGTAGAGAAGGGCCACCCCCAAATGATCAAGCGATTGCTAAAGCTTATTTTGGAGGAGGATCTAAAACATTTGGGACGTTTAAATTTTAGAAAAGATGACTAGTGGGGCACGCAGTAGACATTGATAAGATCAGTCATGATGTGGAGAACTTTTTTTTTTTTGCCATGTCACAGCTGACTTATGGTGACCCTGTGGGGTTTTCAAGGCAAGAGATTGTTCAGAGGCGTTTTGACATTGCCTGCCTCCATTTCACAACCCTGGAATTCCTTGGTGGCCTGCCATTCAAATAATAACAAGGGCTGACCCTGCTTAGCTTCTGAGATCTGGTGACATCAGGCTAGCCTGAGATATTCAGGTTAGGGTATGGAGAGCTTGGATAGCACTCCCTCTTAACTCTACAGTGTGATCAGACAGTGAGATTAATGAAGAATAGATTGATGGGAGGAATGCAAATAGACTGTAGATTGGTCGTGATGAATGCTCAGCATAAATTCTGTATAACCTATCTGTATAACCTATCTGCCTATAGGCCTACCTGCAGGGCCTGGAATCCTTGCCCTGCATGTTTATACTCTGGTCTTTTATGTGATTTTATGGTTCTAGCCCAGGCTAACCTGATCTCATCAGATCTTAGAAACTAAGCAGGGTCGGCTTCCGGTCTGGCTCCCGCGAATGGCGGACGCATCCTCGGGTAGCTCCCGAGGGCGTCTCACCCGCCCGCGGTGGAGGAGGGAATCCGCGCGAGCAGAGACCCGAACGAGCACCTCAGGAGAGGAGCTCGGATCCGGGGCGCGTTAGGGCGCACCAGGGGGGAGTCTCTTTTTCGGCCAAGCAGTCGGAAATTGAGGCTCTCGCCATGCCCTGCCCCAATGGACCTTGCTGCGTGAGCGACCCCGCACGGGGTTTAGCGGAGCCACCAGACATCACCGAGTGATAAAGTGAACAACTGATGAAATGAAAAAAAAGAAAAGATCGGCTAAACTGTGAGTTGTCAAATGCGGGAAAAAAGAACTAAGAGCGCTCCCCCCCCCTCAGTGGAAAAGACGAGGAGGTGAACCCTCTAACTTCGTTAGCGAGAGAAAAAAGGGGGGGGAATGGACTGTGTGAATAGTGGTGATCTCTTTTGATGCATTTAAAGTAAAGCGAGAAAAATTTCTGTTTCTCTGGAGCGCGTTTTAAGAACTTAATTAAAAGTAAACAAAAATAACAAGATGTCGGAGCTGGTAAAAGACAAGCGGAGAAGAAGGGAGGAACTTCCGGTCTGGGCGTTTGCTTTTTTGTGAGAGCCGGCTGATTAATGCTTGGACTGTTTAAGACTGTGAGTCTGACGGGGAACTGTGAGAAAAGTTGAACTGTGACAGCAAGAAAGTGTCTTATAAGCGCTTTTAAAAGTCAGCAGTTGCGGAGGAAGATCCAGTGAAGAGAATGGCAGCTTTTAAAAGCGAAACCGGAATTGAAAAAAAGAAAATCCATTCTCAAAGCTAGAGATCTTTTGAAAGGGCATGAAAGAGGGAGAATTTACAGCATATGAACTGAAAGCGTTAACAGCGTTAACAGCGACCCGAAGGAGGACTGGAAAAGCCGGAGAGAGGGAAACAGAAGAAGCTCCTCCATGAAATTGGGAATTTAAAAGAAGCCAGCATGCGAAGAATCGGTTCTGAATGCGCCTTGAGGAAACTTTAATAACAGAGCATCAGATGAACACTACTAATATACTAACATAGATAATATCTTTAACTGGTTTGAAGAAAGAAGTTTGACTGCACACAGAAGAAGCCTAAGAAGATAATTTGGACATTACTAACAGATTAATTTACAAGTTAATATGTCACTCAGCTTTCTCTCTCTCCCACTATATACCCTCCCCATTTCTCTACTTAAGCGAAATACCTCTCCTTTTTAGGAGAGTCAATAAAGCCTTTATTAAAAAGAAAAAAGAAAAAAAGAAACTAAGCAGGGTCAGCGCAGGTTGGTACTTGGATAGGAGACCTCCAATGAAGTCTAGGGTTGCTACATAGAGGCAGACAGTGGCAGACCACCTCAGATTGTTTCTTGCCTTGAAGAAACCCATGAGGGGTGCAACTTGATAGCAATTTTTTTTTTTACTGGTTCTTAGTTGTATTGATTTTATGCTTTATGAATTTATCTTGTATTTTGTGAGCCACCTTGAGCAGGTCTTTGTAAGGGCGGCACGTAAATTACTTAAATTAATAAATATGTTAAGGTAAAGGTAAAGGTTCCCTTGCTCGAAAGCCAGTCGAATTCGACTCTAGGGTTGCAGTGCTCATCTCCGTTTCAAAGCCAAAGAGCCAACGCTGTCCGAAGACATTTCCGTGGTCATGTGGCTGGCATGACTAAACACCAAGGCGCACGGAACACTGTTACCTTCCCACTGAAGTGGTACCT